TAATTGTAAGTAATGTTTGATTTAGTTTTATTGCAATTGTTTAATCGTAACAATAATTGTGTGGCAAAAATGTGAATAATATGATGATAGCGTGCACTCAGGTCTTAAACTTACACAACTTATACAATTTAAACAACAATAACTTTTTATCACATTAATGTAACATTATATTTCTATTTTGAACATTTTATTTTGTTTTTTACACATTTTGTGTTAACATTAAGCTTTTTCTCCTCAAAATAAGTGAACCAAAAATCCATACAATGTTTTCTTATATTTAAAAATGTTATGATTGAACACAAACTGAGAGCCACTTTCCCGTTGATAATGGTTTAGTCGATAATTCGTTGATACAATATCTTTTACCCGAATGGCTTTTTTGCCAAAATCAATATAACTATGGCTTCAAATCAGTGATCAATTGTGGCCGTAATCCTTAAGTCCGTTTTAGTGATCAATGATCATGTTCATTATTCTCCATCATTATGATTAATTTGTTTATTTGTATAATTGGTCTTAATATCAATAGCTATTAATTCATTTAAATATAAAATTAATTCCCATATAATATTTTATTCACAACAATTATTAGTGGACTTTCAATGTTTTTACTGTATTGTTATTAAATAATATTATTATTTTTTATTAAATTATTTATAAAATATTATAAATTGAAGAATATATTCAAAATCAAGTTTCAAATGGTTTATCGGTTTCGTCAAAATATTTATTTCCACACATTTTTGTGTTATTTTTCAAATCACAAAAGTGTCGAAAAATAGAAATCCTTTTGAAATAAGTCTTTAATACGTTTTCAATTGCTTGAAAACATCGATAGTATAATACTTCAGATTTAATGTAACCATTTTTGATACATTTTGTAACATTCAACTGTATTTTCATAAATATAGAATATTCTTTTTTTTTGTAAAATTTAATATATAATAATTTATAAGTAAACAATTAAAAACTCCAGAATAACTTAATTATACCATTAATTAAACCATAAAATAGTGTCAAATAATTTATTCGACAAAAGTCTAGTTTATAAAAGCAATTAATTAAGTCATAAATATTTTTAATATCGTTTCCAAAAACCGTAATATAAGTGTTCAAATAGTGTCACCAAATATTAAAATTATAAAGTAATTAATCATTAGAATAATTAATTGTATTTCTTTTATTATTTAAAATACAGTCAGAAATTAATTGGTCTTAATTTTCTTCCCAACCGAACGGCAAAACAAAAATAAATTTTCTCATAAATAAAACTCATTTGTTTTTTTGCTGTTAATTGTCGTTAAGTTTTGGTGACATTTGGTTTGGTGTCAAAAAACGTGTGCCGAAAGTGTTTCAAATGATTGACTATATTTGTGATTAGAATCGACACGTCTTTCGTAAAGTGCTTATAGTTTGCAATACGTTGGGCACAATCGGCGAACGCATTCTTCACGTCGTCCACAGTTTGTAATTCGTGTCCATTTTGTAAATGCAAACCAATAGATATACCCATAAATAGTGTCAATGAGACTAATATCAGACCGAATAGAAATCGAAACAGAAAACCACAAAACGATTTGTTCCCAGAGTTTGATCCCTTCTTACGGCTCTTGGCGTCGGAATCGTTGTCTTTGGTCTCCGAGTCGTTCTCGGAATTATTGTCCGCCAATTGTTGAGCCTTTCGGTTGTCCTTTCGTCGGGTGTTCTTCGCCTTCTTCTTCTCCTTCTCTTTCTTATTCTTCTCATTCAGTTGTCTCTCGTATTCCTGTTTCTCTCTGAGCTTTTGTTCATTGATTCGGTTCTCGGTCTCAATCCTCAACCTCTCGTTCTTCACAAATCTGATGCAATTGATGGCACAGATCTCGCACTGTCTCTGATTGGCGCAATCGCCCGCATATTTGGCCAGTTGTGACTCCAGAGGGTTGCTCTTCAGGTCCAACCACTTGAGTCGTGACAATTGTGCGAAACTCAGGGGTAATGTCTTGAGTTGGTTGTCGTAGAGATCCAAACGAGTCAATCGGTTTAAATCACCAAAACTTTGCGGTAATTCTGTTAATCGGTTTTTACTCAAATCCAATACAACTAAATGTGTTAACGATGTGAACGAGTCCTTCG